CAGTAAATTGTTGTGAAATGATAGTTGTATACTGTGATCTCACTATATTTATGCCTGCATATTATTGTGCTTTAGCAGTATGCTCCTGTAAAATTACTACATTTAACTGTAACCTCACAATAAAAGGCCCATTACATTACTGTGATATAACAGTGTGTTCCTGTGAATTACTGAATTTAACTGTAATGTCACATTTTTGTATATTTGATTACTGTGATTTAGCAATATGCTCCTGTAGAATTACTGTATTTCACTGTAATCTCACAATTTAACTCATAAATTATTGTGATTTAGCAGAATGCCTTTGTAAAATAACCATATTTAACTGTAACCTCAAAATTAAAGCCCATTACATTACTGATAACAGTACATTCTTGTAAATGACTGAATTTAACTGTAACTTCACAGTTTATGAACATTTATCTCCATGATTTTCACAATTAAATTCTGAATTTGGTTAAATACCATAGTAAAAGCCTATGAGGTATATAGTATACTACATGTACTGGTTGTGTGTGTGTGTGAGGGGTCAAACGTATCAGCGAACACACACACACACTGCATTCACTGCGTACTTGATACGTGTAAATTGCGTGTGCAACCATCACAGTGTACTTGCTTCGTGTGCACTGCGCGTGTATTCACCGTGTACTTGTTACACATGCAATGCGCGTGCAATGCCTGCACACGCCTAGACGTGTGGTTATTAGACGTGTGTGCATAGACACGTCATGTAATCACAGGGGTCAGTAGTGTCAGCTGTTGAAGCAACAACCCGTCGTGTTACGGATGTGTGACACGTAGCATCGCTATGCTAACTAGCTTGCTATACTAATCAGACGTGCGTGCGTAGACACGTCATGTAATCAGGGGGGTCAAAAGTGTCAGCTGTTGAAGCAACAACCTGTCGTGTTACGGATGTGTGACACGTAGCATCGCTGTGCTAACTCTGCTAATCAGACGTGCATGCGTAGACACGTCATGTAATCAGGGGGGTCAAAAGTGTCAGCTGTTGAAGCAACAACGCGTCGTGTTACAGACGTGTGACACGTAGCATCGCTATGCTAACTAGCTTGCTGTGCTAATCAGACATGCGTGCGTAGACATGTCATGTAATCAGAGGGGTCAAAAGTGTCAGCTGTTGAAGCAACATCGTGTCGTGTTATGGACGTGTGACACGTAGCATCGCTATGCTAACTCTGCTTATCAGACGTGCCTATGTAGACACGTCATGTATCACAGGGGTCAAAAGTGTCAACTCTTGAAGCAACAACACGTCGTGTTACGGACGTGTGACACGTAGCATCGCTATGCTAACTCTGCTAATCAGACGTGCGTGCGTAGACACGTCATGTAATCAGAGGGGTCAAAAGTGTCAGCTGTTGAAGCAACATCGCGTCGTGTTACGGACGTGTGACACGTAGCATCGCTATGCTAACTCTACTAATCGAACGTGCGTGCGTAGACACGCAGGTGTAGTGTATGTGTAGCGTTTGTAACGTGCTGTGCACGCGTACTGATAAGACGTGTGAGCGCGTCGTGTGAGTGGAGCGCACAACGCCTGCGCGTCATGTAGCGGGCGGGTGTGTAACACTCGTGTCTCCATAGTAACCCTATGTAAAATGTAGGCGTGCGCTCACGCGGTTTGATTAGATCTGATGTGTCCTAAGTAGGCGCAAGTGACGCGTTGTAGTGTGGTTGGGTGAAATGTTTGACCCCTCATAGTGTGTGTCTTTCTGTCTGTCTGTCTGTCTGTCTGTCTGTGTCTGGGTATGTGTGTGCCTGTGGGTGGTTGAGTGTACTTGTTTGTGTTTGCAAAGGGACAACTAAGCAAGGACACAATGGAAATGAGTGTGAAAAAATGTACACATTCCCACTTCTTATGCTGTAGGTAAACTGCAGGTTGGGATATTAACATATACTGCTTTCTGAACCTGGTCATTGTTTTTTTGATGGCAACAGGTGTGTAACTATATTGGTTTTATGCTGTTATCTTATACATAGTGGGGTAGTGGTAGCTGGTGAGGTGGGTGTACTACTAGGTAGATGGGTAGGGTATGAAGGTGGAAGTGGATATGCTCTTCTTTACATTTCTGTGGCTTTTTGGTTGATAGATGGGTTTACTGAAAGTGTCCAGAAAAAGAGGTGGATATACCCTCCACCATTCTTGAAACCCATCAGCTGTATTCGGCGTCTGACTTCCGGCAGAAGGCGATATAGCCTCTGGGGGCAGCCCCCCGATTTTTTGTCATTCTGGTTTGATTTGGGCGGAGGAGGTGAATTTTCGTTTCCGACTTCCGTATATATATAAGTAAATATGCTGAACCATTGTGATGGATTCAGAGTTTGCAGTGACGCCAATTGTGTTCCACCTTGTTAGTTCACCGCACGGAGCGTTTAACCTGGGAACCACTGCAGCTGGCTCAAACGTGATTGATCAATATCACGGGGACTACGAACAGCCTAGCACCGGAAACCAGGGCTCTTCCGCTCTTCTTCTGGAGGCAAGATCTCCGGGGTTTGCCTACAGACTCTACATTCACTGAATGTAGAGTCTGTATATAGACTATATACTAACCCTCCACTACACCACTGACTGGATAGATAGCAATAGCAGTCAGTAAATAGCCAAAATTTCCCATAATCACTGTATTATGTAGCATGTAGCTATGGTTAAGGAACACTGATAGGCAATGTTAAGAGTGCTGTCCAGGGTGCTGACCAGACCACACACTCCTAAAATGATACTAACGCTGTGCGCGGTGCTGATCAAACTACCCAACTTGAAAGCTCCACTAGCTGCCAAGATCGGCTTGAGTGCTTCCTTTTTAAAATGTTTAATGTTTTGCATGATCTGAAGTGTTTTGACCATATTATCAAGCTAGAGCAATGTTACAAGCACTGTCCAAGGTACTGATTTGACAGCACACTGGGATGAGCACTATCCAGTGAGCACACCAGTGTTCTCACGAGAATTGCAGCTTGTCGCTAAAAGTTGAAACTGACTGTCCACCAAGATAATGCCTGCTGCTGATATAGCAGCCTATCTCTTGATATTAAGTTCTATATTTTGTGTAGTAGTAAGTTTACCGAATACATATATTTTCAGTTTATTCTTAATGAAGTCATGGCTTAATGCAGCCATTGGTTTAAACCCCTCTGATACTTACTAAGGAAAGAATCGAAATGATACTTTAGAGCTAATAATGTGTTTTGCCGAATGGACAAAATTAGACACAACAAATTGTTATACCAACACTCTATCATGGGTATTGCACTTTAAAGAGTTCCTCCTACTACAGCTTCACATATTTATGTTTCCTGGTCACCTGTAACTGGTTTAATCTTACTGTAATGAATCAACCAGACAATTTTTGACCTGCAACCGATTGCATTTTAATCTTTGTCATCTCAGACAATCAGTGATTCAAAGTCTCACGCATTTCATGTATTAGTTGATTACTCACTGCATAGTTTGTTCACAGTCATTTTGTCAACATGCTTGTAAGTAGTCCGGCTTGATAAGCTTAAAAGCACCTGGCATGTTGGTAACATTTGGAATATATTTTAAAAGTGAGTGAAACTGGAAAAAATAGTGAAAGTGTAAAGGGTTATGGAGATCTAAAAGGTCAAAAAAGACTGATCTAAACAACAAAACATCAACAGCGTAACATGCATGCTTGCCATGTTCCCACCTGCCCTGCACCCGAAATCCATCGACAGTTCCTGCACTCAACAGACCCCCGGGCCCAGGGCCCGGTTGTTTCAGAAGTAATCTGATCGAATTTCAGTCTAATTGGATCAAAACTTAAAAATGGGTCGTTCCAAAGAAATAAAAGGATTCTAAAGGATTCTGAAACTGATCCAATTTTGCTTTGAAAAAAAAATAAATAAATAAAACAAGCACGAAAGTAAAATGGATTAGCTGATCCTGGATCGCAAAACATGGGAATAACTGGGCCCTGATTTGTCAAACAATAGTTTTACATTTACTCTCAATTCCTCCCTCACTGTCTTTCCAAAGTATTCTTACAGGTTGTCACCCTATCCCCCCCGCAGCAGCAATCAATAACTGGGTTGAAGTGTATACATGCAACAGTATCCTAGTTTCTTGCGAAGTTATCCAGCTAGCATATTCAGGTTTCAGGGCTTATCTTAGTTTCTGAAAAGGAGATGTGGTGTTTACATGCGCAAATACATAAATGGGATACTCCAAAAACCAAACAGGTAATTCATGTCCATGTAAACACACCCAGTGTCTTACCTTATTCTCTCAAACAATCATACACACTTATACACATTAGCATAGTGAAAGTTTTGACAGTAAACATGATAGTCTGTAGTTTTTGAATGTAAACTGTAACTTTGTAGCAGATATTTTATGTTTCACAACCACTAACACTATTTTAGCTACTGCCAGTTAGCCTACTAGCTAACTACACTTAGCATTCTTATACATCTCCTAGTTGTTGATTTTGGTGCACAGCAGACTTCTGATCTGAGTCCAACTGAGGCTCAAACATCTATGACTGAATCTCTCCAGTCTCTAACGGTAACGCCAGCCATCTTAATGCGCACTACTCTTTCACTGGTCTTACCAGATCTGTCTCTGCACTATGCCAGCAAGCGGAAAGCGAAACCTACTGCAAGCAGTGGTGGTGGGCAGGATGGAGGCCAGATCCAGAACTTCTCAAGGGAGAAAGAGCTGATGTGCTTTCAGCCCCATTTTAGAGTTTTTATTTATTTTTTTATATTGAAAAATCATGTTTAACAAAATAATAATTAATTGATTAGTATATTTACATACTTCTGGAGGGGGGCCCATGCAGAGCAGGACATGAAAGCTTATATCTCAATCTGAACATTTACAGTAAAAAGACAAAACCAGAGCAATTATAATTGGGGTGTCACAGCAACATATTTTTTATAATATAGTTGAGATATGTGATCAAATGAAAATTAGCTTTTTTATTGTACACATGACTGTGGGGCATACTTACCGAGGTGTAGAGGTATCCTTCACTATTCATGGCAAGGTATAATCCTGTCTTTGCCCCCTGGATTGCCACAATCCGCAGTCCCACCGGAATTAAGTTGAACTGTGCTGAATTGGGGAATAAAGTAGGAAAGAAAGGGCACGACAAAGGGACAGAGAAAAAAGAGAAAGTCAGGGAAGATTGTGAAATCAAGCTACAATACTGTGTAGCAACAGAATCTGCTTTTCTCTTTTCATTGTATTAGGCTGAGTGGCTGCAGTGTCACTGCTGCATGCTATATCTCTCTCAAGCCAAAATGCTTCTTAAAGTTTATGTTTTTAAATAAAACTAAGTCACCTTCACTTTGCTTTACACTGCCTGTAAAGCTGGATGATAATGGAGATGTTCTGCCACACCGAATGGAGCTTAGAGCAAAGACAGTGACGTCTAGGAGAGGTAGATACATTATCTGGGCTGGTTAAACTAAACCTGTTAACAAAAGAGTCAGTTCATCAAGATATAATGTAAGCTGTTGAATAAATACAGTTTTCAGTTTTTAAAAACTGCCGCATTCAAACTGCAGTCTAAAAAAGGGCACATGTCTGAGTCTGGAAGGTCAAATAGGCAAATACAAAGAAATGATACTTGGAAGAGAACTCTGATCTGAAAACCACAAGTAGATTGCTAAAGGTCAGGATGAACATTCGGCGGCAGACTGTCACTTAGAAGCACTTTAAACTCAGACAGCTGCTTTGTGTGGTTTGTGAACTTCAGACATTGTCACAAATCGAATCAGAATCAGTATCTGGGATTTGAAACACAATATAAATGGCTTGTAAGGACGAACACATATGCTAAGCATGTCTGCATGTGAGCAAGGACACATTAAATGACCACAGTTTGGCAGTATGATGTGATGGGGCTTCCTATTAAAAGACAAACATGACCATACAAATTGGAACAAATTTGACACATGAGCTGACAGGATCCTAACTTCTGCCTCGACTCCTCAGCCACAGGGCCCATATAGCAAAGTGTGACACCTACTGTGGTTCTATTTAGCTCAGGGTGTAAAGTGGAGTATTAACTTTGCCAAAGCTTGAGATTTGCCTCCTAATAAGGGTATCAGCTGTTCCGTATTTCAGCTCTATGAAGGTGAAAAACTGCATGGGCCAGATGCATAAAACTGCGTACATACAATGACAGAAATGTACATATGCATTTTTTTGTCAGATATATATTATAAAGCCACACGTACCCCAGGTTCTATTTCATAAATCTCAATCATTGTGAAGCACAGCGCACATGCACAAGCCTCATTTCCAGTACCACAGTTCACCAAAATGGATGTAGAAACAACCTTAAACACCATTTGCATATTGATAGCTGTGCCTGCCTCACCACTCATTAGATCTGTCAATGAGAGATACTGCAGGGCAGAATTGTAATTTCACTGATCCTGTTGCATCGGCGAGGTCCTCCAATGTTCCCAGATCAGCTGTCATTATGCACAGCTGTGGATAGTTGTGGCACCACTAATTCATCATGTTTCTGCAAACCATCACCGCGGTAAAGTCTCACTCATTATGATTATTAAACATCATAAGGATGATCAATGAAACATTCATAGCACTCACATTGAAACTGACTTAAAGAAGTGCAGCACAATTCAGGATCAAATGAAACGATCATTAACGGACTGACTCCTATGTAAATAAGACGGATGGTAAATCATAAATAATTTAGAATGAGGTTCATTAATGCGCCTGTGATTGACACACAGAACGCTGTGAAGACTGATAAGTTAAAGTGGCAAAAAAGTCACTCAAGTCTGAAGAAGGTGTGAGGTATGCACATTCTCACTGTACATACTTGCTTTATAAATACCAGTTAATGTATAGAAAAAGGCATACACATGTTTTTTTTGTGTATGTGCATAGTTTATACATCTGGCCTCTGCATTTAGCACAGTATGGCTTCTACCCAGTTCTTCTAACTGGTCCTGGAGACTTGACTGTGACTGATTTGTTTGAAATTACACAACACGACTACAAGCAAAGACATGTAGGCTATCAACAGAAACACACACTCACAAAATGAGCTGCTTTCATCCCTTGTGCTGTCCATGGTGCCATCAGGCTGCATCTGCAGGTAGTATCCATGTTGGCTGTATAGCCGAGTAACAATGCCTTTTAGCTGTGGCTCTGCAAGGGAACACAGAAAACAACATCGTATTAGTCAGGTGCTACTGCCAGAGATCGAGGACAGAAATGACATTCTCTGATTTACAAAACCTGGAAAAGGAAAGGGTTACTCAAATATGTCATGCTTGAAGACACCAGTCACAGAGGCTTAAGTTAACAAGCACACGTTAGCATGCTAACACACTAAACTAAGATGGTGACAATGTTAAACATTATACCTGCTGAACATCAGCATATTAAGATTGTCATTCTACCAAGTGCTGCCTTATAGAGTCGCTAACAGGGCTTTATATTCACATCATACCATCATGCAAAGTCAAACTGGTCGATTACATACAAGACCTGGGAACTACAGTGTCAGTGTAAGGTGTGGTTATATTTAATATTTCTCTGCTCTTTTTTTCAGTACAGAAATAACAAAAGCATTTAAAAAATCAAAGTCACATGAAAGGCCTGTTAGGCGTCAGTGAGAGGTCTTAAGGGGGTTTTACTAAGAGGGAAGATGCCTGGCAGAACAGATGATGATTGATCCCTGTTATCTTTACCATAGACCTATCCGACCTTCAAATACTTCACAATACTACAAGAAAAATAAAGAAAAATAAAGCTATGTTTTATGGAAAGGCTGATCTATAGTTGTGCGTAGGCTCTACTCAAAGCTGTAGCATACACAAGTGGCCTACACCTTTGTGAGCATTTCTACTCCTGCGGTGGTGTGCCTGTGTCACTCTGCAATTACACCTCCAAAACACCAAATGGTGGTGGGATTTGTATGCCACCATGCTGACTTTCTGTGAAGTGCAGAGAGTTTGATTGATTCAAAACACACAGCTTTACAGTGACAGCATATAACAAAAATACAAAAAATGTCTCCATTATAACTCACAAGGTTCACAAATACAACATGCTAACGTTATAAGTATAAACATAGGATATTTTACAGTGAATAAATTAACCAGTCAGCTAACGGACTTTTACTTCATATAAAGCTGGAAACAACCACAACATTCAACAAGGTAAGGTTTCAAAATTTGACTCCATTCGACTTTGCTCTGCTCATATGAAGCAGGGATAAATTACACACAAGATTTAAAATGCTTCATTGTCTTTGTAATTTAATTGTTTCTTATCGGTGAAGTAAAAGTAAACAGAAGCTTCATTTCCACTGAGGGAAATGGTTTTCAGTTAAGGAAAATAAACAGAAGGTCTGCGTCACCGAGATGTGTAGTTACATTTCTTGACAGGTGTAGGTCAGGCTACAGCGTATGCATTTATGCATAGTCTGTGCCATAGGTACGATGTCGATTCAACACAGAAGTATAAACACAGTATTAGACTTTTTATTACAGTATTAGATTTCTCTGTAGAGCATGGAAATGTAAAAAAAAAAAAAAAAAAAAAATTAGAACAAGAGTTAAGTATTCAATTACAATTTCTTAGTTTTTAGTGAATTGGCCAAGGTACATTTCTGGTCTAATTCACCTAACACTGGGGATGCATAACATTCTGTAGCAGCTAGTAATTCAATGAATAAAATGCATCTATAACTTAAGCTTAAGCATCAGTCCACTGGCTTGCTACCAGTGGTATTTTTAGCAAGAGGCTGGGGCCATCAGAGGATGAAGTCAAGTGAGAGAGTTAGTCTGTCTCCCGCTAAATAAAAGATATATAATCAAGGGGGCTGGGTGGTGGAGGAGAGGGTGGAGGGCGAATAGAGAGATTGAATGTTTAATGAGTGGAGTCCCTGCAGCCTACTTTGCGTTCATTTAAGAAACAGACAGAATCTTTGCAGCAGCTCTTAGACATCACTAGAGCCCCCCCCACCACCCCCACCACCCCCACCCCTCCCCCTCAATTACACGAGTTATAGAAATCTCTAAGTTGTCTCCTGTGCTCAGGACCTCGCTGCCTCGGCCAGGAGGCTACTCCATCCTGCAGGTCCCCTCACTCTGTTTAAAGCTCAGTCATTTAGTCTCAACTGACCAGTCTCCTCCAATGCAGCTTTAATACGGGAGATGAAACATGGATGAAGGAGCAGTTCATAACAGAGCCTCTGGAGGACTGAGGCACCTCTGGGAGTTCCCCCTCTGCTAAACTTCGCCCATGCCCTCACACACACTCCCCAGGGAGGGGCCTAGGGCACTGCGCAATCTGCCTGTCTTCTTCAGACTGGCACAGGGAGCAGGAGAGTGGCAGAGGATACAGGGATGAGATCTGTAGGACTATTTCCCAAAGGAAGTGTGCCAGGGTTGAGGCATCAGTGAAACTGTGACCTACTCCCATTGTTACATGCAAGCATCTGCAGCAGTCCCCATCCTCTCTCTTTCAAAGCTGCTTGTCAAAACATTTCAGTATCTCTACTCCTGCACTTTCTTCTTCTTTCTCCCCTTTTTACATTCTGTGTCCTTTGAGTTATGTACGCTTTCATCCCACCTAATAACATCATACATCATCCAATCAGAGCAGGGACGCTGTTCATTACTTGTCCCCACAGATGCAAAACAGAGAGATGAGAGAGAGAGAGAGAGAGAGAGAAAGAAAGGGAGATGGGAGGATCAGGGAGGACAGAAGTGAGCAGTGGGATGGCAGGGGAACAGAGTGAATGAGATGACACTGTCATTTCAGTCATTTCATTAAGAGTGACGGCTGTATGTGAGCGAGAAAAAAACACACATTTAGGCACAACTTCAATAGACAGCTTGTGCAATATGGCTGCAATCAAAACTCCCATGCCTGGTGTCAGGGGCACTAAAACTAATGTTTCAGTTAGCAGAGCTGGCTCCAACTTCGGAATCCTCGTCCCAAAGCACAATAAATTCTGATCCAGTGTAATGAAAGCTCCCAGCAAAAACTATAACGGTTGTATTTTACTGCAGCTGCATGATAGATTCATAGATGATAACACAAAACAGCTCCCGTGGACACTCACCACCTTATTACCATACAAATATTGCAACATTGGACTATTAGGCCCAAAGTCATATTTTAAAACTGTTGTGCTCTAGAAGTCAGTGTGCCTTTATTCTGTTATTGTGGGAATTTGAAACTAAAGGGAAAACTATGAAAGTAGCTCAGTGGCCCATGAAGCCAAAAAAGCTCTATTTCCGCGGTATGAAATCATTGATCGGCACTGCTTCCACATAGAGCAGGCATGCCAGAGACTTACAACTGCCAAGCCAGCCAATTTCTTATAGGCATCTCTTTCCTAATGTTTCCTAATGAAAGTCTACTGAAAGTAGTCTTTTGGAACCCATTGGCATTACATGACCGACTCCAAAACTTGCAGTTGGCCACTGTGAAAATTGTCTTAAAAGCCCGGCATACTTCCTGGGGGCCTGGTGGGGATGCCAGGATCTGGAGCGAGCTGTGGGCCCAGGAGAAGGAAGTTCTCTGTTTAGTATGCAGATTATAGGTATACTAATTTATTATATATTATATTCTACCTTCATATCAACATACACAGCTAGATTTGCTCGTATAGAACCAATAGCACATTTACAAGTAATCTTTAGCTTTCTTTACTTTAATTTCTTAAAACATGTACAAGAGAAGATTAATGATATCCCAACCATTCTACTGTGTCTGATTTAATAATAATAATAAAAAAAACATCTTGGTTTTTGTTATAAGGGGCCAGGTCCACAGGATTATGATTTTATGTCAGAAATACCTGGAAGACCTATTAGTAGATACAGCAAACATACGTCCACACTGTTAACAGTATAGAGTATGAGAGACTGAGAGCATGCAACTAAGAGTAGTAGTCGTAAACATACTACTACTTGCTCTGAGACAATAAGGGAGGCTGAACTTCCCCTAAAGTTTCATAGAAGAAATGGTCAAATATGCACTATTGAATTTACATTAAAATAAGAATTTACATTGCATTAAATGTGCGCTAGGATGCGTTTAACATCATGACTATGATGTTCAAACGTCAGCTGTTTATCACCAGTTTTCAAACGCAACCTCCCTGTCATACATTCTCGTGTCAGCATGGTGGATGCGGAGCCTCCAAGCATTCCTATGAGACAGGGCTGAGCAGGTTTTTTTTCATGCAGCAAAGCGAGATGGTCATTGGATAAATGCGACAAAATCGTCACTTCCAGGGAGACTCAGCTTCCCTGGGACCTAATGGAGCAGTAGGCGGGAGAGGACGCTCGGTGTATACATGATGATTGGAGGAACTGTCTAAAAGGCTGAACCCCTTTGTGATTGACAGCGCTTTGGAAATACACACCAGCACCGGCGAGTGGAGTCTTCTGACAGAGTGCCGTCCAGAGTTCCTTATTTCCATAAGCGATATAGCTCATTTTCACCGTTTGTACAGTACAGTTCAGGTGTTTAAACCCATCTGAAAATCTTTGAGGTGTGTTTTGCTGTGGTTCGGCATGAGTGTGGTTGAAAAACGGCTTCAATTAAATGTTCCTTTTATAAGTTACTGCCTCGCTACAATATGACAAATTTTATGATGTAAACTTAAAGTGAGCTTCCCCTGTTTGAAAGACCAGCAGCTGCCACTGGAACTACTGTTAGTAAGCAAGTATTTTACAGTGTCAACCAGTAACAGTGTTAGAGGCAAGTTTACACACTCCCTGACACTCATTCATATCTCTTTAATTCTGTCTCTCTCCACCACTGCTGCATCTGCTGAAGCCTCTCCAAGCTGATATAAAGGCAGCACTTTAAACAGCTCTAAATCACAGTCTCTGTTGGTGATGGTGGAGACTCGAGGGGGACTGAAGTCTCTGTTACTACTTTCATTTTTAGCCAATTAGAAAGGCGCTTTGAATTGATTGAGTTAAACAAAAACTGTTACCTGCCTGTGTAGACATAAAAACATCGGTTACATAACTGACTTATGAATTCTGTGTGACTGCCAGATGTTATATCTTGGCATTAAAATGGGTGGGAGTAGGAGGTGAATGTGGCAGTGCCTCATAGTTTGGGGGCAGAGTGTCCCAGGGCACGTTACAGAATTTACACTGATTTTTGGGTTC